GGCCGTAAGGGGGTGCGTGCGTGTGTGTGCGGGTGTGTATATGTGTGGGGGTGGGTGTGTGAGTGTGTACGTGTGTGTGTGCGGGTGTGCGTGCGTGTGGGGGTGTGTGTGTGAGTGCGTGCGTGTGTGGGGGTGTGTGTGCGCATGAGTGTGTGTGGGTGTGTGTGGGTGGGGGTATATGTGTGGGGGTGGGTGTGTGAGTGTGTACGTGTGTGTGTGCGGGTGTGCGTGCGTGTGGGGGTGTGTGTGTGAGTGCGTGCGTGTGTGGGGGTGTGTGTGCGCATGAGTGTGTGTGGGTGTGTGTGGGTGTGTGTGTGTGTGAGTGTGTGTACAAGGGGTATGTATTGGGTGAGGGGGTCGTGTGCTTAATGGGGGTGCAGTGGCGCTCTGGGGGTGCAGTGTGTGTGTGTGCAAGGGGTATGTATCCGGCGCGTGGGGTGTGCAGGAGTGTGTAGGAGGCACATGCGTGCGTTAACAGGTGTATGTAACACACGTGAGATGTGTGTCTGGCACTTGTGTGTGGGACGTATGTACCTACAGCGTGTGCTTGCGTGTAACAGGTGTGTCATGGGTGGGTGACAGGCCGTGGGGGTGGGTGTGCAATGAGGTGTACAGTGTGCGCACAGGCAGGTGTGTGTAACAGGTGTGTAACAGGCAGGTGATCCATGAGGTGCGTGTGTTCTGGGTGCGGTGTGCGTAACGAGTGTGCAAGGGGCGCAATGGGGCGTGTGGAAAGGAACCTGTGAGTGTGTGCGGCGGAGCAATGCGCAGGGTGTGCGCAGCCGTGTGTGTGTGGTGGGCGGTGCGCGGTGCCACGCGCGTGGCCGGCGGCCTGCAGTGAGAGGTGCAAGGGGGTGTGCACGGGGGTACGAGGCAGCGCTTGGAGTGGAACCCCACGTGCAGGCCGTGCGCCGGCCGCGCCACACTCTGCTGCGAGCCCGAGCCGGCGGGGAGCTGAAGAACCAGGGCGGGAGTGTGGAGCAGGGAGTATCGGGAGCGGGAAGCGTTGACAATGAGGAAGAGTTCAGGCCTCCGGGCCACGTGCACGCTGCCCTGCGCAGGGCTGCGCG